TGCAGATTTCAGAATTCAGTCGACCTCACTACTTAGAAACTTTTATCTCATCCGCATTTACTGTTTTGGAAGCTGATCAAAGTGAGCTTCTCACCACTGTTTTTTCCATGAGTCTGATTTATAATTATAATTTTGTTTAGGTACTTAAATCTCAATGGTTATTGTTTAGGTACTTCCACTGTGATTGCTTTGAGGGAGTTGAACATGAGTACTCACGGACTGCTCTCGACATAGCAATTCGCATTGCAGCTCCTTTGGCTGTTCAGAAGGTATGGATCTCTGTAAAGGGCGCAGCTGCTGCTTCTCGCGTAATACAAGAACAAAATGTGAGAGTTTTCCTTTTTGATATCCAATTAAATTTTGAAGTGTTTTCATTTTATGACTTGATTCTGGTTTGGTTTTATGACTTTGACGTGTTTCGAACAGTTTTCCCTTTGTTTGCTTTATTATATAACAGAGTTGATACTCCTTTAATCCCACAGTTTCAAGGAGGATTGATCCTATCTGTCGGTGATTATGATGGCTCGTTTCGAATTCAGTTACTCACGAAGGATGGATCACAGTGTTCTGAAGAAATGGCATCTAAGATTCAAGAGGAATCTGCTAAGTCCAGCGTGTACGTTATTACTGAACGTGGTACATGTGAGTTTGATATGAGTACAAGACAATAGCGAGATCATATTTTTTGCGGAAAAATTGTGAAATCATGTTTTTAGTTTAACTAAGTGTTGATGGGTCAACCATTAGCAATCCATTAACCCATTTTATTTAAACTCATTTCAACTTAATCCATATCCTCTATATATTAATAGAGGAGACATTCGGTGGAAAATCTTAGGTGTCATCTAAAGAGGGTTTTAAGGAACTCCTAATAAAGACTATTAAAAATTCTTAATGATGAATATATAGAAACAAATATGTGGTAATTAATATGGAAAATTTTATTTAAAGAATATAGAAAATATTTGAGAATATCTTATTTTCTTTTCAATAACTATTAGATTTTTTTGCCCAAGTCAAACGCAAGAT